CTTTATTCTGTGGTCCACTCTGTCATTTTGCTAACAGGTGATCTCAAGGGATAATTTCAGTTCAAAGTTTAGAGTATCTCAGGACGATAGTCTCAGGAAATCCTTTTATCTCAACTGGTCCAGTTAGCCTGATCTTTTTTCAAGAATTTGAGTTTTGTTTTTCCATTTTTCTCCCATTCTATCAAGGACTATCTATTGTGACCCCAATCAGATTGGTGAGTGGTAGCTGAACACCATCTAGTTCTTCTTGTATCAGAATAGATGAGGCTGTATCTTGTGTAGGCTCTTGGTCTTATAGGCTTATTTGTTCTCTAAGATTTTTATTACCTTCTTACTCTTTCACTCCTCCTGATGAGTAAAGAACAATAGTTGTATCTTAGATGGCTGCTCACAAGCTTTTAAGACCCCAGATGCTAGTCACTTCACTGAGATGAAGAATATGAACTTTGTGAACTATATTATGCGAATTGACTGAGTTTTCCCATGAGATTATGGTCATAAGCTATCAAATCTGGAAAACCAATCACAGAAGGTGTTCGGTTGTGTCTGCAGAGTATATGTAGTCGTGTCATTAATGAATATATGTGCCTCCACACACATATCTGTATTTACACAAACATATAGATATATCTATCTGTTCTCACATATGTATACAAGTGTACATATCCAGATATCTATGTGGCTATACCCATCAATATGTGAACACACTTGTTTTTTGGTCTTTACTGAGATTGTTGCCAACTTATATATGTCAAATTCGTTACTACAGGCATCCTTTTCTTGAGCACTTCTCAGCAACATCATACACTTTCATCACCCCTCTTTATTCTTAATTCAGGCCTAGGAGATTGTTTAAACCATAATCCTCTTGACATTCATTTAAAAAATATTCATAGCATACTTTGAATGTCCCTTCTGAGCCAGGCACAAGGGATACGAAAATGGCCAGAGCGTAGCCTCTGTTCTGCAAGGAAAAACAGACCTTGAAGTAGTTGTAAAATTAGAAGTCGTAGAGTTTGTTTTGCAGAAGGGACAATAAAGAAAGGATTATATATATGCCTATTGAGAGTAGAGGAGAGGAGAAAAGAGGTATGGATATGAAATATCTAGCTTGAGCTAGTTAGACAATGAATTTAAAAACAATTTAGGCAGGAGAATAATACTTATTAGCAAAGACATGGACAGAGGTCAGAAAAAGCAAAGTAGTTCAAGTTACCATAAGTTATTTACTTTGGCAAGAGGAAGTATAAGGCTTAGAGATGAAATCAGAGAGTTAGGCAAGAGACTTTGGCCATTCTGCCATAGGGAAGGAAGAGTCCTTGAGAAGTTTCAGTTAGACAAGTAATGAGACTTATATTGCAGAATTATCAGTTTTGGTCATATTGGAAGATACTACTGCAGCAGTATAGTACAAAAATTTAGAGTGTTATTGGTGAAATCCCAGTAGTTATTTCAGCCAGACTAAGCAATCCTCTTCTTTCTCTTGCCTTCTTTTTTGAGAGTTGGAGAGCTCCTGTACAAACTTAAAATCATAAAATTTATATTCTGAAGAAAACTTAAAAATTATTTTGCTCTATCCTGTCATTTCCAGATCAAGCAAGTGACCTGTCCTTAGGTCATATATCTACTAAGACAGATGAGCCAAATTTCATGTCCGTTTTCCAAACTCTGAGATTCCTGATCTAGACAAAGGATCAGTATCATCTGTAATGCTAATGTCCATGTTAATATCATTCTATTGACAAAATCAGGTTATGGAGATATTTTAAGTCATTTGAATTAAAATCTATATCACTTTTCTTTTCACCTGTGTTAATCCTACTCACTGAATTGTCTCAAGATTCCTAGATTTTACCTAACCGCAAACTTCAGTGATGATTCCATGAATATAGGTCTTCATCAGGCATAGATAAAACATCTTTTCCCAACAAAAATCCAAAACTGTCCATTTTCTCCTGGAAAAATTTTGGTTTCAGATTTACAGGGAGTTTTGTTTTAGTTTTAATTGCAATTTGGATGAATTTACAGAGCATATCGGTTTTCACTCAATAATGCATACACATACACATTTTGTTCTGTGACATTCAATGCAATCCCCACAGTGTAACGATACTCTTGTCACTTCCTCCTGTGTTTACCATTTCCCTTTGTCCAATTTTTCTATCCCTTCCTGCTTTCTTAGCTTTATCACTGGGTAAATCCTGCCCTTTTGATCTCCTATGGTTGATTGTTCTATTACAAGGAGTTTTTGAGCAAAGTATGTGAAAAGAAAACAGGTTCTGTTTGGGGACATGCCTAAGGGATGACTGCCTACCAGAAGGCTGGCAGTTCAAACCCACCAGCCACTCCTCAGAAGGAAGATTGGGCAATCTACTTCTGTAGTGATACCGCCTCAGAAACCCAAGAAGGGGTCTCTATGAGTGAGACCCTACTTGATGGCAGTGAGCTTGGTTGGTTGGTTTGTTTGGGAACAAAGCTTACATACTCCTCTCCACCAAGTCGGCCATGCCACAGAAATCTATAAATACCAAGTTCATTTACAATAAGCAATCTAGACACACTAGCAGTGTCCTATGTATTCACCTATAAGAATCATGTGGGTAACTTATTAAAATTTAGATTCTGATTCAGTGCTTCTGGGGTGGAAATGCAGTTTCTCAGCAATGAGTCAAACAAGAATGAACCTATATGAAGTCCTGTTTCATTTAGGGGGAGCTCTGGTGGCATAGTGCTTAAGGCATTTGACTGCTAACCAGAAGGCTGGTGGTTCAAACCCACCAGCCACTCCTCGGAAGGAAGATTGGGCAATCTACTTCTGTAGTGATACTGTCTCAGAAACCCAAGGAGGGGTTGCTATAAGTAGGATCCAATTGAACAGCAGTGAGTTTGGTTTGGTTTTTTTCATTCAGAGGGACTTCTCAGTATCTTTCTACTAGTAAATTCCATTACATGAGATCTAAAACCAAAACCAATGCGATTTAGTCAGTTCCGACTCATAGCAACCACTGCTGTGTTTCCAAGGCTGGAAATCTTCACTGACATAGATTGCCTCCATCTTCCTGTCTCCAGCTTCCTCCCACAGAGCAGCTGGTAGATTTGAACCACAAACCTTCCGGTTACCAGACAAATGCCTTACCCACTATCTGGAGGTCATTTATTTCCCTGAGTGTCCTGGTGGGGAAAGAATGAGTCACAGGCCTGCTATTAACTCTTTCCTTCTCATGACTTGGTTGTAAGGTTTTATCTTAAATTCAAAACTGTAATCATTTATAGAGACTAGTTAGAAGGCTAGCTGAGAAGTTCCTAAAATGACCATAAAATAGTTGTAACTTCTTCAGAATTTTTTCTGAAAGAGTAATGGAAAAAAAAAAAAAAAACCCACATTGATCTTTAAAACAAAGTACACCAATTTTTAATATAAATAAGGAACTTTAAAGAGAAAACCTGAATTAATTTTAAAAAATAATGAAGAGCTTTCTGTTTCCAGGTTACAAAGTCAAGTCATGAATTCACTTATTAGATAAGTTGCTTTTTGATGAAATGTTTGAACCTAAAATTAAAACACCTACTTTAATTTACAAATCAATCAGTAACTCATGGTATTTATAATATGGAGATACAACTAAACAATATTTTCTTGCTTAACAAGTATCTAGAAATTTTTCTATACGAACTGTAGCAAATATACTCTAAAATACATAACTGAGACCTCAAGAAAAAAGCAAACTCCCAGGTGGAGAAATGCAGAAGGCAGAAAATATTTGGTGAGTTGAATCAGGCTGCCCTGGGTATGGGGATCAGATTTTTGTCTAGTTATTCAAAGAACTTTGGTTTTAATTTGAATGTAGGCAAGCAAAGTGATTCCATTAAATATATATATATATACATATATATATATATATATATATTATCACTAAAAATAAGTTCATCCTTAAGCGGACTACAAAAAATTTTCATCCAACAACACCAAACCAGTTCGGATTCTGGGTGAAGGAAAACAGTCCTCATTGGCAATTTTTTTTTTTTTTTAAATCTTATTGTAATTTGGGTGAACTTCCTTAGCGATTCTTAATCTTGAACCTATGTCTCACACTGGTTTGGGATCCAAATTTATACTATCACCTAAAAAATAGCAGAATAAGCTGCCTTTTTAGAGATGTTGGAATAACCACCAGAAAAACAGAAAAAGATTAAAAGTAGTTATGCCATTGTGCAGGACTGGTGATAGGGTTGATCTTCACCATTTATATTATAAACCGTTATGCATACTTGTTTAAATTGATTTATTTTTCTCGTTGTTGACTAGAACAACATACACCAACTCAATAATTTCCACATGAAAAATGCAGTGACATTGATTGCATTCTTCAAGTTGTGCAACCATTGTTACCCTCCTTTTCTGGGTTCCTCCTCATTTAATATAAACTGTCTGGTCCCTAAGTTTCTTATCTAATATTTCAAGATGCTGTTGTCAATTTATTCCCACGTAGAAAGATTTTAAAAGCATACTGTTCAAGGTAGACATTCTTTACTGGTTAAGCTAAACTATTGTTTGGTTTTAAAAAGACTTCAAGGGATATTTTTATTTTTTAACAATTTGCGTGTATTGCTTTGATTAAAATTAGGTTGATGGAGATAGGTGGTAGATAATTAGAAAGAAAGAAAAAAAAAAAAAAACAAGCAAACCAAGGGACAGTGTGATCACATTTAAATAATTCAACAATTAAGTTTTGTTTAATCCTCGACTTAACATATTATTCACAGGGGCATTTTGACTCTCTAAAGTTCACAAACAGAGTTCAAACAGTCCAAGCAGAAGTAATTTGCTGCTTTAAGCCAAAGCCCTTATTAGCTAGGGTGTTGTCTGTAGGAATTAACCAGAACAAATTCCTGATTAAACAGCTAATTGGCTTGTCTACTAAAGAAAAGAAAAGAAAACTACGTTTCTTTACCTCCAGACACAGTCAAAAACAGAGGTTTTCAGAACTGTATCAGAGAAGATGTTTAAAACAATGACAGTAAAATTCAACAAGGTAAAACCAATAGAAAAGAATGATGAAAATGAAGACAGCCTTCATCCAACCAACCAGTCTCAGTCATCTACTAGACAGGTATACTCTGTATATTCCTAGAGTCAGTCTTAATTTCATAATTTTTCATCTGGGGATGGATTTTAATGAACTTTGGGATATATAATCGTGATGGGAGATTTTATGTCATACCATCTGGGTCATGTGCTCTTTTGTCTTTTGGGGCTGATCCCCATTAATTTATGTATACTGTATATATTTGTTTAAAAATAGAATACTATATGTTTGAGAGATACTATTAGGATTTGGATAAATAGCTGATTTTCACTTCTAGAATCATTCAAAATGAATTTTTTTCTAGAATATTAAATTGACTGTGTGACAAAGAATTTCAAGCATTCTGGTTTTAGTAAACTGCTTTTTACCAATATTTTCTCTAGGTCAGTGGTTCTCATCTGGGAGAAATTTTGCATCTCAGGAAACATCTGGCAATATCTAAAGACAATGTGGTTTGTCACAGCAGAGGGAAGGGTGCTACTAGCTTCTGTGGATAAAGGGCAGGGATGCTGTTAACATCCTAGAACATGCAGGACAACCTCTCACGACATAAATTGTCCAGTTCAGAATGTCAGTTACACCAAAGTTGAGAAACTCTGCTCTAAAGAAATCTTTTCATAAGTTATCATTCTATTTATATGTAAAATGGAGATGATAATACCTGCTTTGTAGGGTTGTGGTGATAATTAGACACAGTATACACAAAGCATATAATTGATGGCGGTGATGGTGGTAGTGGCCATTTAGTCGAATCCTACCCGTGACAACATCATGTATGTCGAGGAGAACTATACTCCACAGGCTTTTCAATGGCTAATTTAGCAGAAGTAGAGATACCTGTGGGTGGCCTCCAACCTCCAACATTTCGATTAACAGCAGAATTGTGTGTTAACCATTGCAGCTCCCAGGAACTCCAGTAGGTACTCTCCAAAGGATAATTATTATTACAATTATTATTAATAATTTACCTTTGTATGAAAAATTGAAGTCCAAACTGGTTATAATATGAGCAGTATCCACTTATAGTAATCTATAGAACAACATTCATGAATTACTTGCTAGATTTACATAAAAGAACTACATATGGTTTTTGGAGCAATAATTATTTTCCAAGCTGAAGGAGTTGGATGAGGGAGGTGAAGTACAAGTAGGAGCGTACCTTGGAGACCAGGGTAGCATGGTCTAATGAGTGAAGTTAAAATGAACCTAGAGGAAAGAAAACACTGAGACTGCTTAAAACTGACCCTGGAAAAAATGCCTTCCTTTTGAGCTTAACACTGACTGTTGTTGCCTTAATGAGCTCTGGTGGTATAGTGGTTAAAGTACTTAACTGCTAACCAGAAGGTTGACAGTTCAAACCCACCAGCTGCTCTACAGGAGAAATATGAGGCAGTCTGCTTCTGTAAAGATTTACATCCTTGGAAACCCTATGGGACAGCTATACTTTGTCCTATAGGGTCACTAAGAGCCAGAATCAACTTGATGACAGTGAGGTAGGTTTTGAACAGATGTGGAGAATTGTGTTCAGCATTGCTTCATGAGAGTGCCTTTGGTTTCTTTCTAATTCTTACATCAGAATAAATAACCCCATGCTTTAAAGTTATTTACATGTTTAAAGAAGCATGGAATATCACATATATTGAATAGAGTACTTTCTATTAGAAAGTCTTTCTCTTTTTCTCTCTGGGCAAGTCATTACTGTGATGTTTAATCTAGTCTATCATGATTATTTTCCCACAGAGCACATAAAAATATGTAATGTAGTATTCTTTTTGAGACCATAATAGCTAATTGCAATTATTATATGCCAACAATGTGCTAAGCTCTTTCCAAGAACTGCTGTACTTAATCCTCACAACAACGATAGGTCCTGTTATAATATGCTACTTACGCACAGCTAACAAATGGTAAACTTGGGTTGTAACCCTATTCTATCTGACTTTCAGTACCTGACTTCAATAGGCCATACAGCTTCAGAAGAAGAAGAAAATTGGCTAAACCAAGGCTTCCAGATACATCTGTCCTCAGGATTAGTTAAAAGGATATTAGAACAGTCCATTCTATCTTTCAACTTTCTTAACTTCCTCACCATTTAGAAATTCTGTAACTACACAGTCTTCTCCCTCTTTTTGTTTGTAGTTGTCCTCACTTGCCAATTGATGTCTCTGGTTCCCTGTTTACAATCTTATAAGCTCATTTTACTTTGGATATGTCCATAGCTGTGGTTTCTGGGTTATGTTATCTTGTGTATTAATGGTCAGTTGTTATTTGCTATTTTTG